GTATAAATCAAAACTACACAGAATACTCTTTTACTGTTTTGGGTTAAGATGAAAACAGATATCTCTTGTGTTCCGCTCTTTTTGGTATTTTCATGCCTTGTATTTAAAAAACCTTTCATTCTGTAGTACAAGCATTGAATACATCTATAGTTCCAGTGTTCCTTGGTCCTTACCATTTAAGTAAGGAACATATACTTTCACACAATACTTAATCCCCAGAAACATTCTTTAGAGACAACGTGACTGCCTTAAAAGATGGAACATATATCTACATTCAAAAAGTGCTGTCAATAAGCTTCAGAGAATGTCTTACGATGGCCAGAAGGAGCGTTATTATCTAAAATTCATGAGCATAGCTCTACCTGATGGCTACATTTTTGACACAGTAGGACCATTCTCTGGAAGCCAAAATGATGCAAGCATTACAAAAACATCATAGACAGGGTCACATGGTTGGAGCAAGACGACAATGTAGTCGTTGATCATGGTTTTAGAGATACCCTGCCAATGTTAGAGGCATCTGGTATTAATACTTAAGACTGATCAGAGCCTACACTCTGATCTACAGGCTACATTGACAGAACAGTTACTAAATCCCAATGGATTGTCGAGTCTTTTCATTGCAGTCTTAAGCATTGGATATTATTTAGAACTCATTTAATATCAAATTGCTCCATTGATATAATTGAGGAAGTGCTAAAGATTGTGACTGCATGTCTCAATTGGTAACGGGGGCCAATTTATCAAATATCACCGGAAACTGACAGAAAAGACAGAGACCTCGCACATCAAATGAAGTTTCTACTTACAAAAGCAAACTGTTTGGCCCATAGGGTTAAAACAACCAGCTCTCTCCAAGAGAGCAAAGACAGAATTCGTTAAGATTATGAAATATGGATGAATCAGCACTCTAAAGACCTCATTTAATGTTAGATTTGTTCCAGACACAAAGGCTAAACTAAATATAATATTTTGATTCATTACAGCACGACACCAAATGATAATTATCCAATACAAGATTATAACTGCCAATGCCCAGTTGGTCAAAGAACTATGGGAATGTGTGGTCATACATCAAGTAAACTTTATTATCTTGGCTATCATAGCAATATTCAAAATACAAAACAGTTTCACCCAAGGGCTAAGAAGTTTAACAAAGATTGAAATAAGTTGTTTTCTTGTGAATCTAGAATCACCAGTTTGAAAACAAACTCAAAGCCTCGCATCATGTTTTCCTCCCTTCTTTTTTTACAAGTCTGCCATTCGAACACATATCATACTCTTGCATCTTGCAAAAGATTGTAAACGTACGGCTGTTGATTTGTCTGTAAATATCTTATAACTCACCTTATGTCGACATCTTTTAAAAGTTTATTTTAACACAGGAAACTTGAAAGTCGATGGCAGAAATATGCCACCATAAAATACACTTCCTAGAGACGAGATATTTATCAGTCTGTGATCTGTACTCTAATCATCTGGTTTTTCTTTATAAGGAAAGGAATATAGGAGTTCCCTCCTAGTCGTGAGGAAAAGAACGGTCATTGCAGGAGCCTCTGTTTGTTTAACAAAACTGTTTTCTCTTTTTACCACAACACTAAACTGGAATTAGGAATTGGGATACTGTTTACACATGAAGAGGAAGTTGTTAAATATGGACTTTGAAAAATATCCTCAAGAACATTCGAAAAGCCATAACTCGCCATCATTTACCACCAATCCTCAATGCGAACTTTCATGATTAGGAATATCAGTCCCATTCTGACTAATATCGAAAATGTCATGCAGGTAACGTGTCGTCAGATCAATACCCCGCTGTGTTGGCAACACCAACAGTAATTTCTGTTGAAACTTTTGAACTCTGTACAATGTTTACCACAATATCTTGTGCTTAACTTGACTCACCTCTCAGGATTCGGAATATCAGTCCCTTTCACTTATACTGGCAATGTTATACACATATATTGTGCTGTCATGAGGTAGAAATGCGACTTTAAATAAATAACATTACACTGAGGGTCGAATAGTTTAGGGTTGGTATTCATGAAACCCTTTTCGTGTTCGAGCATGTACTCGCAGCTCAATGCTTGTTTGTAACTTGTTTAAACCAAGTAAAACGTCCAAAATAACTATCTTGTAACTGTTTACAAATAGTTGCTGATCGAGCTGGAGTATCAGAATGGTATCAGACATACGATCGAGTTCTGGTTTCTTCTTCTATAATGGTTTTACTAGATCTCTGTGTTAATTGAGTTCAGATGTTACTCAAGAATCTGGTTCTCTAGGATATATGTGTCCTGTTTATCAATTAATTTTGTGTCCAAGGTTTCCTACCAAAGAGGATTCCGTCTTCAAATTGTCATCATGACATGATTTCGAACCAAGTCGTTATCTGTGACGATGATATAAATGTCCAGTCTAGTTGTAGTACGTTTGTAAGCAACCTACTCTTTTAGAATGCAATTGGTGAAATAAGCAAGTGCTTGTAATGCTAAAATTTCAGATCAGTTGGATTTTTTTCTGGTTTCATATTCTGTCAATATATCGTAGGTTCCTAATGTTGCTTTTCTGTTTCTTTTGTCCCGGAGTGTTGGCGCTTTAGCACAGTTTCGTCTTTCTCAAGACTTAATCGAACGACAGTTGTAACTTGGACTTACTGACGATGTCAGGTACATGGAATCATATGTTATATGATCTATAAGTGCCTTAAGTGAAAATGATATTTTTTTGGTATTAGTTGTTATATATAACTCTAAGAACTCCACCAAGTACTTTCCTTTTCTCTAAGTTCATGTTCTATCTTTCTTTCTAATTTCTTATACAAAGCTATACTACATGTATGATCAGCTAAGCTTGTTAAGTACAAAAGTACTTGTTTCCCAATCATCAGAATAAAAATGACTATATAATTGTACATGTTAATTAACACGAATATAAAATATGGTTTAAACAGTAGTTCTAAGAATCAAGTTAAGGAAAACAAGGTTACCTCAGCGACATCACGCTATATCAGGCGAGGGCACCTTAACCCACTTGTGTTCAGTATGGAAAAGGATATTATAGATTTAGGTGTCCTAACATACTGGATGGGTGCCCTATCATGGTAATGACACTTTATTCTATTTGATCAATACAATTGTTTGATCTCTATCCATTTGTTTAAAACATTTCAAAAGCATTCAGGATTTAACCCTTTTACCACTGTAAACCATAATGGACTCATCCAAATCAATGCATGGAAGAGTTTACTGAAGTTACATAGGGGTAAAAGGGTTAACTCTATTATTCTTGTGTCTTCATTTTAAAACAGAAAAATATTTTACCAAAATCAACACAGAGCTATTTTTTCATCGTCTTTTGGAAAAGGATGTCGCATATTTGATCAATCGAAACTGTATTTGTCCCCCTTGTTTAATTTCAAGTATGGAAATTGAAAATAAAGCAATGCCAACTGAATAACTATAGAAATGAACCAGAAGCGTTGCATTAAAATTTTGAAAGACCAGTGTAGCTTAAAGCATTCTAAAATATAAAGACACTTTAGAATACGTAGCCTTTTAGAAAGAAATTCTAATTAGTCAACATCAGCAATACTATTGGTTTGTTGAAAGGTAAGCTCAGTATAGCACTGCCTGAGTCCTTTATAGAAACTCATTTCCAGAAAGTTTCGCCTACACACTGCTCGCTTGGTCACTTTTCAGGACTTTTCAGGCAAGGATGGGTCTATCTCTGTCCACTAAACGTTTGCACTTCGAATAAGTCCAGTGTCCAAGTAGGCAGGATATGCTCGCGAAGCTTACTGTCCGGTAATCTGACCCTATCCGCTGTAGTAGTGTAAGGTAGCAGTGTACAGTAGCGTACGGTGGCCATGGGTAATATTTTTGTACAATGAATAACCCATGTAATATTACATGTACAAAGTTTAAAAACAAAATCAGCACTCAAATTGGCATATACATGATGAGGTGGACTATGTGGGCTCCACATTTAAAAAAAAATATAATTATAATTTGGTTTGAGACTACATTTTTGGCCATTTACAAATCTGTGTCTACACAACAAAAGCTAGCTTTTCATGAAGTCTATTTTTGTACTCAGCACATATGTAAATATTGTGAAAAGTCCAGTAAAACGACCTATGCTAAAACGTGAGTATTTCTTTTACCGAGTAGGTGATATTGAATTTCTTGCATTTTTTGGCGCTTTTTGATGTGGTAACCATGGTTTTTACAAGTCCTCAATCTGGGAAAATCACTTTTTGAAAAAGAAATCATTCTTCTAAAGAAAATGTATTCAAAATGTAGTTTATAAATATATATATATAGGTGTGTTGTGCAGGATAAATCCGCTATCCATGTTTATCTGAGACATGCCCTTTATTTTTAGGATCAAGCCATTTCTACTGTACACTGCTACCTAAACATAAAAATGAACCCATTGTTAATATAGGTCTTTGACTTATTCGACAAAATTGTATTTCATTTGCATTCGTGACCATTGTTGCCTTGACAAGCAGAAATATCAGCATTCAAAGTGAACAAGCTAGGCTGTTTTTCAGCTATTTATAAGCCCAGATTGAACGATTTCTCCGTTTCTGCAACTTGTTAAACATTAAATTAAATACATGTACGATTTTAACTTTATATCTATAACGGGTAGTTCATAGAAGCAGACATTGTTGAAGATACGTTTTAAACGGATTCATTAACAACGATACAGTTTTGTTTTACATATGTTTAACATTGTCATAACCGAACTAACGCGATTTCTGTACGGAGGTTGTTTTATAATTCAGTGAAATTTCATAGATATCGCCTTGATGGAAAAGACTTGTAATTATCATGACTTCATTAACACTACTTAAATATATTCTTGTCTGCATGCGTGCGTAGGAACACATACACATAGCATACACGCAATTACCCACGTACGTACGCATATATATATGTAAAGTGATTCCTTCCTATAAAGGACGACACACGTACAATCATAGAGGCTGGATATATCTTTACTGTTGAAATAACATGATTACAACTAAGATTACATGCTTTTCATGGCGTTTTGGACCCAGGTCCTGAAGGCGTACGTCTCGGCGTATACTGAAGGAGAGTTCGTCGGACAGCCTACCAGTCCAAATGACGTCACACCAGCAAGTTCAAATTCATTACCGACTCTACACGCCAAAGGACCTCCACTGTCACCCTGAGACGCAAACAAAAATGTGACAGAAGTAAGGTCATCTTCTTCATACCATAACTATATTTAAGATAGTCAATTAAATACATTGATGACCATGTTTTATAAAGACACAGATTTTCAAAGCAAATTATGGAATTTCAAAGCACTGATAAAAACTTCTTCTGATGATTAAAACATTGCTCTAATAGATCATAGACAGGTGCCTCTCTTTTGTACACTGTTAAGTGTCAAAATCAACAAAGTCGGAAGCAGCAAACCCCGTCTAGTCTGTTCATCTTTTTTCCATAAGAAGAAGAGAGGGACAGTAAAATACAAAAAGCGCGTTCAATATTGTAACAGATACTTTTGAGATTTGTACGCAAGAATATTTCTACGCAATCAAAAGGTCTGATATCCATTGAGGTTTGCAATAAAAACAATGACAATCTTGACACTATAAATTCATTTTTTTAAGAACGGTTAGGCGTCCGTTTACATCACATTGTTTTTCGGGATTTCCCCTTAGAACCGACGCTTCTTGCATTCACAGCGAAGAAATGGTTACGCAAATGCATGACCGGAAATGGACTTTTGGATCTCCAAATATGTTTGAGGTTTATCACGTAAAAATCACAAAAATTTCAAAATCTGTTAAACAAAAGAAAGAACCTTCAATATTTTGGTATTAAACTGAACTATTTCACATAATTATTCATAAAAGGAATTACTCATGAATCCTTGGCCCATCTCGAAAGCATTGGTCTCATAAATTCTTTAGAATATAAGTAGAAGCATTTATTCTTAATCAATCACATCCTCCAAACTACATGTAGATCACCATTTTAAGCGCGTCAATTAGTTTTATACACAAATTAATAAAGGAAGTATATCGTTAGCATTGGTCTTGGCATGTAACACAGTACCGTTTAAACGTGCCATGTTGCACTCCTTTATGGATGTTAAAAAGATGAATTTGAATGTTTTCATTACGTTGAAACAACTATTATTATATCGTTCGTTGTAGTCTCATTCGGTTCAAAATGTAACTCAAATTGTTTCAGCAAATAGCAGGATAGCTGTTCAAAATATATGTCGAATTTGTTTAGAAAATAGGAGAATAGTTATTCAAAAGACATCTCAAACTGTTTTGGCAAATAGTAGAATTGCTTTTCAATATATACGTCTTTTTTGTGAATTCGTTCTTTCCTTGTTTTGTCAAGCAGCATATGTCATTCGAAAACTATTCGGAAATTTCCGTCACAATTTACGAGAAAAGAGTTCTAGCTGTTATTGGATCATTACAACATTTTTGGTTCTTACGGTTATCTCAGGGCTGTTCAATGGAATTGTTAATGTGTAAACATATTAGATTCATATAGGGGTATTACCAGTGATGGATATCAATTTCAACTATATGTTTGTTGACCAGCAATTAAAGTTATCTTATTAGTTAGAATTATAACATTCTGTCGATCATTGGTGAGCTGCATTTTTTTCTGGATTTGACAAGATATTCCTGATGGGAGCATCTGATGTATTACAAATCCGTGAGGTCTGGTATTGACCAAACGTTTGTGGACACGGCCGTCATATGACCTTGGTTGTTGTGTGGACCGTGAAATCACAGCTAAGCAGTACTTACATTGCAGCTTCCTGAGGCTCCTGCGCCGTCCAGACAAATATGTATGTCTCCGTTCAGGTAATTGGAACCAATATATGGTGTGCAAACGGCATCAGTCAGTACCTTAACGTTGGTCCTCTGTAGCTGAGTGGGTAAATCACCTGTCAATGACAAATACGAATGTTGAAATATGAATTTAGGAAATGCTTTAGTAATTAGTGTTCAGTTTTGTATAATGTTCATTGATAAAATTGGTAGTATTTTAATATAAAATCTGGTTAAAAATTAAATAGAATTAAATTTTCGTATAACTGATCAATGAACTACGAAACTATCATTAGGTCAAGATAACACGTCTGACTCAGTATATGACACATATGAAACCCCAATGAAGATACTAGTTTAAATATTTACTTTGATTATCTAAACGCTATAAATATTCATCCACAAGGAAAACCTTATGCTAAAACTATGCCTAGTATATTTACTTATCATAAACGAGTAGATACGGTTTATGTGGGTTGTGTGAACTCCTCTGAAGAATCAACTTTAACATGAGTGTTTAATTGGCAGAAGCAATATACAACCATGCTACTTCACAACTGCAGAACCAAAGTAAGCAAACTTTCCAACGGACAAAAATGCTAATTTACAACCAAAGGTCATGTCAGAAACAGTTTAAATAACAAGGATGGAGTTCACAACTGCAGGTCACACCAAAACTGGATGAGGTCCACATCGCAAGCTGTTCAACAGATGTCAGTTCTACATTACACCTCGGGGTCACATCAGAGGAGAAGCTATTTGCTGATTACAAGATATTGCTTTAATGAAGACAAAACTGTAGTAATCACTAAAAATTGAAGTAAGACAAGGGAAGGTTAACAAGGAGATAAAACCACGTGTTTCGCATGGGTAAGAATATATATATATGTCATGTAACTTATGATAATCATTTATACTGAATACTGTTCAACAATTAAACGGTCATGTTTTACGTCTGAGAGGTATACCACTAACTCTTCAGCTAAAGACAATTTTACTTTTGCAGCTGATAATATTATTAGTTATATAGTCAGTTACTGACCCTCTACAGAACCATAGAGGGTCAGTAACTGACTATATAACGAATTTATCGCATCGAGGACCCTTTTTGCTTAAAATGAAAATGATGTAATGTATAACAAAACAATATGAATATTTAACATACTCAAATGTTTTAGTTTGAATCGGTGAGCAATGGGCGGCCATATTGCCCTATAATGGAATCATACTGACCCTCTATAGAAAATTAGAGGGTAACCAATTGACAGCTCTAAACCAATGGTTTTTGGACATTTTGTCCGAGGTGCGATAAAAGTTAATATACATTTTATACTGATCTGAGGGTCACACCGCAGTGCTAAATATACAAGAAAAAAATATATATATTGAAATAGAGAACATTTTTCTTTCACCTCTTCAATACATTTTTTTCACTATCATTTCTAGATGAATTATTTTCTCAATAATACAAACATTCATATGATACCCATGACACATACGGGCAACACGGCCATTGTTTGACTCCGCGACCGGAAGAGTTATGCAAAAGTATTCTTACTATCGCTGCTTGTTCTACCCCATCCTGTAATCACACAGTCCTCTTCATTGTAGCCTGCTAGTTGGGCGTTAGTAGCGGATGTCAAACTTATCGGTTGTTTGTTTGAGTTGAACGAAATTGAAGAACTTAACTTCATGATGGCAATATCATTTGGAAAGGCGCCTTCGCCAGTGTTTGGCGAATTTTGGAAGTTTTCGTGCTGAGGAGAACAAAGCTTGTTTTCAGTGTAAATAAGCTATACGACGTTTCAGATACTTTGTGTGCTACACAGAAAGCTTTGACATCTCGAATTTCTACGTCACTACTAGTTTGTTGCATCATTTATTTGCATTATGACGATACATTTCATTTGTTTACATATAAAATATCCGAAAAATGAATAACACTGTACGATACAGCTGTTTTAACCTTCTAGGACACATCGCTGTGGCAGGGACTTAAAGGGTGGATTTGCGAATTGGTCTGTTAAATCAGAATTGGGAATACCTTGAACTATATTTATTCAACAAATACCACTTTGTTATGAACGTAAGACACACACATGCGCTTCAACCAATACAGTTTGGTATCAAATACAGTTGCACTGTACCGTACAGCTGTTTAGTCCATTTAGGACTCATCAGTGTGCCACTACTTCAGGAAAGCTGCAGGTCAGACTAAAGTATAGTTGAAGCTGACTTACCTGCAACACATTGGATACGGAGTGTGTGGAACCTCCAGAGACGCGACTGGAACTGCCTACACGGATCGAGTACGTACTGTGACGAAAAATGTGAAATAAAGGCTGAAAGCTTCCCTAATATAAATCTCTATTTTAGAGAAAGTCGCACTCAAAGAAAACCGAATACGATTTTAATTGTTAGAAAAATTGATGACAGTGTTGACAGATAAACAGATGACAGGAATATACAACCCGGTATAATATTTATCCTTAACTCTGACATAAATCACGGGTATTATGGCTGAGGTGATATACATCTCTAAGAGAGATTACTAAAACTAAAGTCACGGGTATCATTTGTGATGTATACCTGGTGTTCCTTAAACACTGCTGTCGTTTTAAATGTTATTACTTAAATGTAGTTAAATGTGATATACCCCTTGTCTATAAAGACCCACTGTAAATAGAAGGGTCTTTTCTATAACGACCCATTGTAAATAGAGGGGTATTATCTATAACGACCTATTGTAAATAGAAGGGTCTTGTCTATAACGATCTTCTGTAAATAGAGGGGTATTGTCTATAACGACTCACTGTAAATAGAGGGGTATTGTCTATAACGACTCACTGTAAAAAGAGGGGTATTATCTATCACGACCCATTGTAAATAGAGGGGAATTGTCTATAACGACCCACTGTAAATAGAGGGGTATTGTCTATAACGACCCATTGTAGAGAGAGGGATCTTGTCTATAACGAACCATTGTAAATGGGAGGGTCTTGTCTATAACTACCCACCGTAAATAGAGGGTTTTTGTCTATACCGACTCACTCTAAATAGAGGGGTATTGTCTATAACGACCCACTGTAAATAGAGGGGTATTGTCTATGACGACCCACTGTAAATAGAGGGGTATTGTCTATAACGACCCACTGTAAATAGAGGGGTATTGTCTATGACGACCCACTGTAAATAGAGGGGTATTGTCTATAACGACCCACAGTAAATAGAGGGGTATTGTCTATGACGACCCACTGTAAATAGAGGGGTATTGTCTATAACGACCCACTGTAAATAGAGGGGTATTGTCTATGACGACCCACTGTAAATAGAGGGGTATTGTCTATAACGACCCACAGTAAATAGAGGGGTATTGTCTATGACGACCCACTGTAAATAGAGGGGTATTGTCTATAACGACCCACTGTAAATAGAGGGGTATTGTCTATAACTACCCACCGTAAATAGAGGGTTTTTGTCTATACCGACCCACTGTAAATAGAGGGGTTTTGTCTATAACGACCCACTGTAAATAGAGGGGTATTGTCTATAACTACCCACCGTAAATAGAGGGGTATTGTCTATAACGACCCACTGTAAATAGAGGGGTATTGTCTATGACGACCCACTGTAAATAGAGGGATATTGTCTATAACGACCCACTGTAAATAGGGGGTATTGTCTATAACGACCCACTGTAAATAGAGGGGTTTGTCTATAACGACCCACTGTAAATAGAGGGGTATTGTCTTTAACGACCCACTGTAAATAGAGGGGTCTTGTCTTTAACGACCCACTGTAAATAGAAGACTATTGATAGTCTTGCCTCCTCCGTGTCTTACTGGGTTTCTATGTGAAATAAGTCATATGAAATTGCTATCCATGACGTCATACATGTATGCATGAATGCCATAAATTTACTCTTGAGTGGTGGCACAATTACTAGCGAATACCGTCGTCATATTACATTAGCGTCTCTTAAGACAAACACAAACAAACAAACCTCGCGCTATTTCCAACGCAGTGAGCTGCCGTGAGAACAAAGTCCTCACTAAGTATAACGGCACCACAGATGTGTTGTCCATAAGACCTCAGCGAGGCCTGCCATGGGTAGTTATTGATATAGGCGTCATCACCTCCCACGATCCTGCCCTCTCCCTTCAAATCAGCCTGAAGTGCATACAATACCCATCTTGTGTGTGAATATATCTAAACAGTATATCAAGAGTGAACTGATTTTGTTTGGATCAACGGTAACTTATATAATAAATATGTTATAAAATTCTGACACGTATAAAGATAAAGATAAAGTTTTTTCTGCGTATTCGTTTTATTTCTTCACTTTTGGTACGTGTACCCTCCTTTTAATTTCTTTTTATGTTTCAAATACTGCATGTTTTAGGTTATTATTACACAAAACGATTTTGCGCAAGTTTCAGAAAAACACGAGTTTCTAACAATCATTTACTCTTAATTTTACTGGGTTTGACGAGACATTATGCAGGATGACATAAAGTCACGCTCACTGATTTCGCCTGTGTTTATTTTTGTTATGTTTTATCTATTTAATATTCTTCCCCACGTAGTTTATTTTTCCGTTTGTTTTGATGGTCTGCAATTGTCTTTTTGTACGTCGTCTAATTCTTATTCATGTGTATAAACAATGTGGTACATTTTCCTTTTAATCTTGAAACGGGAATTGGCGTTATTAAATACCTGAAACTTTTGTTCACATTCCCAAATTTACTTTCATTGTTGTGCTTATTTTTTTATTACAATATTTTTATGAGAATAGCGTATTTCGTTGACATTCTCACACGTTAGAAGGATGAGTGAAATTATCAGAACAATCAAACATACACATGTATAATGATATTATAAAGGAAAACCATAGGAATGTCTGTTGTTGAATCGGAACATGATTGATACTGATTGGTTGAAAATATGTTTGTGTCGGGACATTTCATTGGACGTTACTAATCACGTGTCTCTATTGTAATATGACGTCAAAATCAACTGGACTAACAAAACTATAATTTTCGTTTATACTGTCAATGCAGTGGAGATATCACTTCAGTATATCATTTAGCTTATGAGGCATCTCCTAAATAGATAGAGAAATATTTTTGATGTGTTATGTGTAAAGTTGACTTACCATATTTCTATCATACTTATAATCCCTGATTATTTATGCATTTAATGCTACAAGACTATGGATAGAAGCTAGAAATTTAGCTTAAATCTTTGATGGGTGATTTACATACTTTCCTAGATTTGACCGGAATCACCACGACCTGAATATCCAACTAATGATATATCATTGTCAACAGGTATAAAAGCCTCCTTTCTTTAATCTTTGAGGTTTAATTTACCTTCTCTCCTAGATTTTTGATGGAAGTGATCATGACGGGAACTACACGTGGTACAAGAAACTCGATTCGTCCGGAGTTACATGAACTTGCCTCAACCTTTTAAGGGGGTTTATCATGTCTTCGTTCTGTTTTTCTGTCTCCCCAGGTCATTTTGCTGTCTTATCGTGTCAAACGGATTTTTTCTAGATGATTTTACTTAAGATGCGTGAACAAATACATTGACGAAATGTCTCAGTATTTTAGACATTGATCAACACGATACAATTTGTTATCGAAAATATACATATATTTTGAAATATGTTTTTTTTTTTTTTATATATATATTTCATTCTCTGCCAAAATTGCAAAGCAATGTACATTTAATTGTGGTATTTTGTATATGCTGCACTTAACGAATCTATTATTTATTGAAAACAAATATGTAAGTTATTGTTTTTCTGTATGTTATAAAGTGTGATGTTTTTATTGATATGAAGATATTTGGAGGTGGAAAACAAAAACCGATGAATATATGATGTTTTGCAATAACCGACTGACCGATATCTTTCCTTTTCGGTTGAATTGAACCATTCATTTTTCAACTAGATATTATGCTTCTGTGTCTTTAATAAATGTTGAAAGATACATTTGTGTCTTCATTTGTTCATTTAGCTGTATTAGGAAATGTTCAGGAACATCTTGATATTTTCGTATCACATATTATTTTCAGACTTGACAAGGACCGATTCTTTCAATACTTCAAATTATATTCAAGAAAAGGAACAACCGATCTTATCGTAGGGTGAATTAAATCAGTTGCATCAACATAAAACCGGGAAGTTTACTTTGTGTACACAAACTATTCGAAAATGAGATGCTTCCTGAACAAAGCTAAATAATATGGACTTACCTGAGTCTGCAAGGCAAGGTCGATAAGGTCCTGCCCCGGGTGGTGGGGAGTTGGAATCTCCGGGAACGCTAGGCAACCTACGATTTGAAGATGCAATGTTATGTTTATTTCCGTTTTAGTACAGGAAATGTAAAGAATGTATCAACAATTGGAATGACGTCATTGTCGAGATTGTAGGCGGTGTTACCTAGGATCCCTGATGTGTTCAGAACTGCAAATTTACATACTTTATTCAGTACAAAAAGGTAATCAGTTAAATATTCAAAGCAGCGACGGGTGATGCAATAATAATTGGAGGTTCTTATAAACCGCTTTATCACAACCTAGTTCGTAGGTCGTCTCAAAGCGGTTCACAAATTATTATCCGTGGTTATAGGGCCTTTGCAACCAGCCAATATATTTCTCAACTCCCTGGGGAGCATACAGCCGGAGCTGCCATTTCGTCGCTAACAGCTAGCATTCGACAATTCTAGCACTGCCGATACAAATAGGTAATCAGTTAAATATTCAAGCAGCCACGTGTGATGTAGACAAAGTTTAAACTTAAAACAACTAAATGACACCTATGACCATTCTGCACTAATATGCAACACTATGATGCATAACTAAATATATAAACAATAGCATCATCATTTCATTCAATTTCCAACTTATAACATATAATGCATGTGTCATTTATGATAATCAATTATCTTACTTCACGAACATAAGATATTATGAATAAGAAATGCTTGTAATGATAACAATATATGGTTTCATAACCGAGTTGTAACAAAACGAGAGAAAATACATATGTAATGTCTTATGAAAATAATAATATGAACATTTTCTTACCTATTATATAACCAGGATTTACGAATGCATCAGTTATGTCATTGATAATGATATGATAATTGTTAACCGATCTATAACCTAACTAATAAAATACGTACAGGTTGTAATAATAATTATGCATATACATACATAATGTGTTTCGTGACAATATGCTCATTTTGGAACCAACTTACATCGTTATGGCTTATGAATAAAACACATCTCTAAATTATCAAAACTGAAATAATATGATAGTTTCCTTTCCGCTGAAAACAAGACTGAGAAGCCAAACTGCCATGGTGTCGACTTACGCACTAATGAAGATCGTATCGAGAAAGGGACCTACGGATGTATTTATACTCTCTTGTTCGGAATCCACCTGGCTCTGTCCTTCCCCCCAAGCGATCAACGTTTCAAAAAAGGAGTGACATAAGCACTTAATTTGTTTATAAATTTGCTGCTGACATTGATTATTTAACTCCCAAATTACCACTAGAGTCATCATGTGGGCCTCTTGTGGTTGAGAATATGTTTGTGATACTATAAGATGTGTATTACGCCAGACGGGGATAAAGCGAATGTCATCAAGAAAAGGACATATTGTGTTTTCTCATACAAGTATTCTCTTAAAGATATCAAACAGTCATAAAACCGTTGTTCCGAATACCGCATAACTGTTCAACAATATGTTGTTCATTTTACAACACTATTGAAGCATATGGTGTAACCAGCAAACTTATGTTTTGAATATATAACATCATATTAAATTACTTAAAATACGCGGCAGGTGACGTTTATGCGAAAATGTATTAGATTTGCATTGCAAACTCATGCATCAAGCTAACTGTAACATGTGCTTGTGGTTTTTGTTTTGCATTGCATTTTAAATGGATGGGGTGGAGGCATTTATCTATTCAATTTGGTATTAACGGGTAATATGGTGAACTGTTCAAAACTTCTCTGACAGAATAGAACTGTTTATGTCTCTATATTTTGATTCATGAAACAAATTATCATATTCTCAAATAATTAAAATTTGTTTTCTACCAATTAAGATTACAGACAAATTACAAGGCCAGCGCTCCTGATTACCCGATTCCACTGAGGGTGACGACTGAGGGTCTGTGTGAGGGTGTTTATATAATGAGGTGTCTCCTTTCTCGGGAATGTTGTATTATTGATTTGTTAAAATGTCTTTTTTTTGTTTGGTTTTGCGTCGCCTATTGTGCGTGTGTTTGTGTTTGTGTGTGTGTGTGTGTGTGTGTGTGTGTGTGTGTGTGGGCATGCATGCGGCACTACGCTAGTTTTTATTTTACAAATAAAACCTATTTGTCTGTTTAAATATGTTACTTCATGTTTTTACACACCAGGTTTAATCATAAAAATCATTTCATATTTTTTTTATATTTCGAACCGAGTCACATTTAAACAGGCCACCTGTACTCTGAATGTTCGAGAAATTGTCAGCTATTTTCAATTTCTACCTGGCCAAAGATAGACAAACTTAACCTCAAAAATACTCTCATAGTCTTCAAGAGGTATTCAAAGCTGATAAAATGACAAGATGTATAATTATCAATAATGTTGTGCAAATGTTACTGGTATTCCCCTTACCAAGTGATGTCGTTTTAATACTTTAGGTAAATTATCGGAGAGGGCTGTCACGGTCTCAAATTAGCGGAAAAACGTCTTGTCTCGTTCAGATAACAGAAGAAACAGATGAGTAACACAGGCCCACTTGTCCTTTTTGTTATCAACTGTGGTCAGTCTTAATAAAAATGTTACATTTGTAAGAGTATTTAATTTATGTACCTCTGAAGACACATTTGAACTCTACCCATTGAAAGGTTGGAATAGTTCATTATGAAATGGCAGGGGTGAATGAGTTAAGGGTAATTTTATTGATATAGAGTATGTGAAAAGGTCATATCAATTGTTTGAGGATACTTATGTGCAATCGCTATACAGGATATAAGTAATATTTAACATGAAGACGTAATATGTTTGATTTCATTCAATTATTCAAAGTCGAAATTACAAAAGAAATAATATAGGCAAGTAATTAACATTAGCAATAAACCACAGAAAATATTAATTAGCAGGAAACGATTGCAACAGGTCATGTTCTGATTCATTATAATACCTACACCTGCAAAACCACAAGAACGATTCTCATTTCAAATGGTGATATAAACTTGAATTTCAAGCGGTAAATCGATGGAACACAAGTAATAAAATTATCTATGTAAGAATATGTATTTTGGAAACAATATAACGAAAATGGAAAGAATGACAAAATATCAGATCGGTGAAGCAAATTTTATTTTTAAAGAGATACAAATAAAGTGTTAATGTGATGACAATCAGATGATGTGAGGACAAGATATATTACAAATATGAAATTGACATTGTAATCAACATTATGATAAAATCATGGGGAAACAGTACAGACATGTCAACGTATGGCAGATAGCGAAGCTTCGAAACTAATCTATTGATGTTATAATAACTTTCCTTTCTGGCAAAAGTGAATGTGAAATGGTCTTACCACGGGGGAAATATCGTATAGGAAGTGTGCCATTTCTCCCAGGAATCTAAGTAATGGGTGATTGGGTGGCACAGTTGAAAACGCACTCGTCCTTCACCAAGGCGGCTGGGGTTAGATTCCCGAATCGGATGTGAACATTTGCGGAGTCAGCTGCCCGACCACATGGGTTTCCTCCGGTTTCCTTTTTTTTTTTTTATGTAAAATAAATAGAGATTATATTTTATAATGATAAGATATATTAAAAAAAACATGAATATAGGAAAAACAGATTTGATGGTTTGATAGTTTGAAAACATTATTAGTGGTAGGTATACTTTATTATCAATAAACACAAGATACATATTGGAACTCAATATTGAATGACATAATGAAAGAACAAAATAGTTTTTGAAAAGCAAAGGAAAGCAAACCCCCAGATAACCTCGCGAAAAAGCAAAGCAAAACCCCTTGATGACCTCGCGAAAAAGTAAAGCAAAACCCCCTGATGACCTCGCGAAAAAGCAAAGCAAAACCCTCAGATGACCTCGCGAAAAAGTAAAGCAAAACCCTCAGATGACCTCGCGAAAAAGTAAAGCAAAATCCCCAGATGACCTCGCGAAAAATTAAAGCAAAACCTCCAGATGACCTCGCGAAAAAATAAAGCAAAACCTCCAGATGACCTGGCATTAAAATGGAAAGCAAAACCCCCCAGATGACCTCTAGGTACGTGTTACCTGCGACATATGTGACAACCGCCATTGACGACTACTGTCCTATTCAGGAATGAAGTCGTCATTAACTTTCTGAATCACAGTTTGTATATATGTCATCAGTCATTGCTGCCACTAAAAGCTACAGGTCAAAATCAGGTCACTTAAAACACAAACGGTAAATGCAATCAGACAATATTAGAAAAATGTGTAATTATTATTATAAATCAATTCTAAAGAATTAGAAGAGCAAATTGTTATTGTAGAAATATATGTCATTTTTATTTACAACAAAAATAGTATTGTTTTATAAATGGCTGAAATGATTTCATGTTGATTAATCAAATGATGGGTCCTAAATCCCCCGCACGTGTGCTATGCTTTCAACACGCACAATTTCATTTTCGCTTTCAATTGATGACGCAAAAAAATCCATGTATATCTCTTCGCTAGTCTTCGAGAATCCATGTGATCTGTTCTATGCAGAAGATGACTATTTGGTTGGTTGTTTTTTTGGGTTTTTTTTTTTTTTTGGGGGGGGGGGTTGTACAAAATTAATGTGCTTTGTGTATGACGTATGACGTCATGAAAATATGTCGTCTTTTTTCCGTTCCATCACTTGATAAGTTTGTGCACTCAAATCAATGAAAAAGCGTGTTATAAATAATATCAAATAATAATTATGTATGTTTCTTAGCGAATCGTTCGTTTAGATTGAAGTAGCATACCTATATCAAAACAACAACATTACATGTAACAAGAGGAATATCAAAGTATATTTAATAAACATAACGTAATATACAAAAAAAAAATGAATAAAAATTATTTCAAAATCAGTGTGTTCTCAAGTTAAATATATATATATATAATAAAAAGGGATTAAATGCACATGTGAAGGAAGTAAATATAGAAAAAATAAGATTAACGATTAGTCGGTCGTTCATCTTATTTTTTCTATATATATATAGAGTCTCTATTTGTAGTGAGAATCTCTCAATACTTATGTGGTCCATATATATTTCAGTTA